GGGCAGAGTCTCGTCTCGGGGGACAGCTACCCGACCCCGTTTTTACAGAGTCTACGGGGAATTTTTCACCGAGCCTACGGGCTCAGTAACGCCACAATAAACTTGGCCTTGTGCCGCATCCGACCGCGTGGGGCGGTTAATGAATATCTCGCTATACAGATTACTATTCGGATCACTATTCGCTGGTTACTTTCCGAGCGAGTATTATCGAGCAAGTAATATTAGTGCGAGTGTTATTCGAAGGCGTCTGACACCAGTATTGTTCAACGGCGTACTATAGTTGTATCTACGATTACAAAGTCTCTACTACAACGAGCATTACGAAAGTGACAACGAGTATTCGTTGACATCACAAAAATTATAAAAATATATTGCTTTTTCCCATAGTTGAGACCCTAACAGGTACTACTACACAGGGTCTGGGCAGACTAAGGAAAAATGCAGTTAAAGGGGTGGTTGCATGCTCCTTCAAAACCTCCAATCTTCTGATCAGAGACCTTGCTGCTGAATGTAGTTTATCGTCATACCCAGGACGCTCGTTTTTGTTATACTCCTTGAGAATATAAGCGACAATAGCTCTCCACGACTTCCTTATTATTCTTTATTATTTGTGAATTGCCGCGATTTCTTAGGAAAGACAATGAAGTGGTTTCCTGTTGTCCATAGTTTTGAATAGACCCTCTCCTAGACTGGCTGCCACCCAAGGCTAGAGAGCCAACTATTTTCTGCTATTTAACCTATAACTTTTCAATGACTCTCTTTAGGTAATGAAAAGGACAGCTTGAGGAGCATAGAACATTATCTTTTCTTATTAATTGATAGAACGAAATCGGCAAAAGTAGGTACTGCTTTAATACGCACATCACATTCGTTCTCCGCTAATTTACCCTCTTTCCGTCTACAGGGGCGGTAGATAAAAAGTAGAATGGATCTCGTGAGGATTCATATTGCAGGCAACGCCCCTGTACTCTACAGAAGGGATAGGGTTATTACAAACTTTGATTTGAGTAGAACGTTTGTTTTAATTTTTAGGGTTTTTTTTTCACTTATGTAAACGTTTGTGTTTTTTAAGTTTTAATTTTCAATTTCTTTTTTAATTTTTAATTTTATTTTTTTCACTTCTTTCTTTATTTTTTATGTTTGACATTTCATGTTTTTCATCTTTTTATTTTTTGTTATGTTTTTTAAATTCATTTTAAATTTTAAATTTTATTTTTTTCCCATTTACTTGAATGTGTGTGTTGAGTTTTCTTACAATTTAAATTTTGGTTTATGATTTTAATTTTATTTTTAAACTTTTTACAGTTCCACCAGAAGAGAGAAATTTCCCCTGAAAATAACTAATATTAAGTTAATGTTGCTGTGAATTTCACGTAGTTTTGACCAGGTTGATTTTGGTTATTTTCTACTATATTAGTAGCTTATTTCAGACCTGCAAAAAAAAAAAAAAATAAACAAATAAAAAAATAAAAATAATAATAATAAAAAAGGGGGGGCTATTCAGAGGATGGTTTAACCATTACTGTCAAGCCATGAATTACCGTTCCTGACATAGCAGGCCAACATAATAAATTGTGAAGCATTACTTTGGAGCGAGACTCTTATCCAGAAAGTAGCGCCTCTACTTCAATTCCAACAAAATCTGCTTCTAATGCCAAGGTCTTTATGAATTCCATTATATTCCCTTACGTACTAATAACCTTGGGAAAAGTATGAATCCTCCTCTTCTCCCCCCACCAAGCTATGGGTACATAGCAGCACAGACCGGGTTCTATAGGCTTGGCTGGCAACTGGTCTATCGCAGAAAGAAATGGCAATCTATTGCGGGAAAAATCTGACTCGTCAGTCATGTATCGAAAGTTACATGCTCGCCTAAGCGTGTATACCGCATGGCACATAACTGAATGACCCTTGGGGAGGGTATGAATCTTCCTCTTCTCTCCCCCTCCCCACCAGCTATGGGTAAATAGCAGGGAAGACCGTATTCTATAGACTTGGATGGCAACTTGTCTACCACAGGAAGAAATGGTAACCTACTGCGGGAAAAAAATCTGCCTCGTCAGTCATCTATCGAAAGATAAATGATCGCCTAAGCGTGTATCACGCATGGCACATAACTGACTGACTGGCGATGAAGGACAAACGAAAAGGAAGAACGATATTAACAGAAACGAAGAAGAAGAAGAAGAAGAAGAAGAAAGAAGAAAGAAGAAGAAAAAGAAAAGAAAGAAAGAAAGAAAGGAAGAAGAAGAAGACGAAGAAGAAGAAAAATGATGATGATGAAAAAGATACAGATGCAAACTATAACATTACTTCTCAAACTTGAAATATTCAAATTTAAGTAAAAGTAACTTTTTGTGGGTTTACCACACACAGGCATTAAAAAATTCATGCCAGATCCTCTGTAATCTAATTGTAGTTCCCAATTCTTACCTTCAAATGATAAAATGCCTTTCAGAAACTAAGTAAAATGTTAAAACATAGAAAAAGGGTTTTAGAAACAAAGAAAAAAATGCCGGATGGCTATGCAATGTCCAAGCTTTCCTTACGATAGAGGCTGCTGGACACTCATTTTACAGGTGAATAAAATATTGAGGCAACAGAGATATTGTTCTCTTGAACAGCGTATATGGAATAAAAAAATTGATGGGTATTGTAAGTATTTGTTATTTAACAGAAAGTGTAAAAGGGGTAGTAAAAGCGACATGGAAGAGTTTAGGGAGGGATTAATTTCATATCTCTCTCAATCATACTTAGTATTTGGGGAGGAAGAGTGACCAGACCATGACCTATTTAGACGGTTAAGGTGAAAGTTTTAAGCGGTATAAAGATTACGTAAAAAAACTGCTGCTAACAATCAGAAAGAAACAACTTAAATTTTTGAGAAACATATTTAGGAAAGATGGCTTGGAGAATTTAACACTCACAGGACATATTGGAGGCAAAGGGGAAACAGTGAGTAACCTACTTAACGATTCTGGGTAGACAGAGAGACAAACAATAAGCATAAGGAAAAAGGCCAGTTAAAGGACGGCAGTTACTTAGAGGAAAAAAAAGGACATTGTGGAGAACCATCATCGCCCATGGTCTGAAAAGACATGGCTCATAAAACAAGTAGACAGATGTAAAATACAACGTGATAAGTTTTTTTTTAATTTATTTAGTTTGGCGCCAAAAATAACTTGGATCCCTTGACCTCTGACGAGCTTGTCAACCATCGCTCTACGGTATGCGCCTTTTTTTTTTGTAGGCGTTTGTATGTGTGTAGATATTTTGTAAGTGTTTGCGTATGCGGGTAAATTTCTGTAAAAGTCAAAACGGGATAGAAAACTTAAAGAGAGGACGAAGGAATAAGTCATTCCTCTAGAAAGAAGTCAAGTTTTCACATCTTGTTTCTACAGACGACAGACAGACTGACAGCCAAGCAAAGTAGGCAAGGAATATGTCAAGGATTTTTTTCGCCATTGTTTAGGACGTGACTCAGTGTCAGTTAGCCTTGCTTTTCTTTTCTTTTATTTGTTTGGGAAGGCAATGGCTCTCAAATCCCTAAACAAATTCTTGCAGTAGTTCTAATCCACAAGTGAAATCGAAAAGATACGCCGCCTGCATTTTCTTTAACTTTACGCTGGTATCTATTACCGACGCCATTTTATTATTTGAACAACTCTTAAAATTGGGGATCCCACGGTTAATAACTTTCTCGAAGTTCAGGAGTCAGATTTTGGTTTTTTCTGTTTTTTGTTGCTTCTTTATAATGTCTTTTTTTATTATTAAAAATCATTTCAACTTTTTGTGTTTTGTGTGATATTTTTGGCACTGTTTTCAATCTTTTTTGTGGCCATTACTGCATTTTCTCTTATTTCTATTCAATTTTTATTCCCCTTTTCCTTTTCCCTCGTTTTCTTTCTTTCTTTCTTTCTTTCTTTCTTTCTTTCTTTCTTTCTTTCTTTCTTTCTTTTACTTTTCCTCTTCTTCCTACTTCTGTATTTGATTTTAAACACATTCTCCACACATTTTAAATACATCCTTTTTCTTCTTCTCACCGCCATTTTCCTTCCTTCCTTCCTTCCTTCCTTCCTTCCTTCCTTCCTTCCTTCCTTCCTTCCTTCCTTCCTTCCTTCTCTTCCTTCTAATTTTTCTTTTCTCTCCTCCATCCTCCTTCTTTTTTTCTTTTCTCTCCGCCATCTTTCTTTCTTTCTTTCTTTCTTTCTTTGAATTTGATTTTTACCCGCATCCCCCACTCTTCGTCTTCTTCTGTTTCTTCTGCTTCGTCTTCTCTCTCAAACCCATTTTCGTCTTTCTTTCTTTCTTTCTTTCTTTCTTTCTTTCTTTCTTTCTTTCTTTCTTTCTTTTATTCGAATGCCGAGAAAAGGGCATTTGTGCCGATTGTATCCCTATTGAGTACACCGGAGGGGGAGAGGGGGTGATGGTGGGCTGGGTACGTAGATTTAACCCGTGCTTAACGGAGGCAAAAGTGGTGAGTAGTGGTAGGAGGTAACTTGACGCGCACGTTTCACGTTCTTCTTGCCAGCCCCACCCCACTTCACTTCCCAAAAGTCAAAGAAGTCAGTGAACACCAACAATGAAAAACATTTCAGTCCCTTGTCGATTCTCCTTCGCCTACATCACTCCTATCTTTTTTCGTAGACATCATCCAGTTCCATTTTTTCTTTTGATTTTTCTTTTACTCTTTCATTTTCGTCTTTATTCTTCTTCTTTTTCTTCTTCCTTATCTTCTTTTTCTTCTTCCTTATCTTCTTTTTCTCCATCTTCGTTTCCTTCTGTTTCTTCTTTCCTCTTCTTCGTTTCGGTTATCATGCTTCCTTTTTCGTTTGTTCTTCATCGTCACTTTTTTTTAATGTTTTTTTTTCTTTCCCATCATTTACTCCTTAAATTTCAACTTCATTCTAAAATCTTTCTTCTTCTTCTTCTTCTTCTTCTTCTTCTTCTTCTTCTTCTTCTTCTTCTTCTTCGTTTCGCCTATCATTCTTTCTATCAATATGTTTTTTCTTTCCCATCATTTACTCCTTAACTTTCGACTTCATTCTGAAATCCTCTTCCTCCTCCTCCTCCTCCTCTTCTTCTTCTTCTTCTTCTTCTTCTTCTTCTTCTTCACCATTTTGTACTTTCATCCACTCTACCGCCTTTCATTATCAAGCTACCTTCCTTTTTCTATAATCTATAATCTTTGCTATAATCTATATTAATATAGATTAAAGAAAAGGGAGATATTATTTAATCTATATTCCTTTTTCTATAATCTATCTCAGCTATTATATCCATTTTTCCATTAGGTTCTTCTCAATTATATTCTTTAAACTATGCCCGTCCTGGGTATGACGATAAACTACATCCGGCAGCAAGACCTATGATTTGGAGATAGGAAAATTTGAACCACCTTTTAATTGCTGCTGTTCCCAGATTCCACCCAGTCCCAGGGTGGTAGCACCTGTTAGGGGGTCCAAGCTATGGGCAAATATTGAAGCCCCAAACTAAAACCAAAGAGATCATAAAATACATTTTATAGGAAAAATACCAGCAATATAAGAATAATTTTCATAGTAAAATGACACTCAAATACATTTTATAGTAAAATTAAAGACATGACATACAACACACACACACACACACACACACACACACACACACACACACATATATATATATATATATATATATATAAACAATTTGCTATGATTAATATCATTTTTTGTAAGGAGGAAAAATATGACTCCTCGTTTGATTTTGTAAGATTATATGGCAAAAAAAAAAAAAAAAAAAAAAATGCAGCTATGTAATTATAATTTAATCATAAAATAATGCCATTCTCTTAAATCAATTATAAAGTTTGAAATGTATATTTAGATTTCGGCCTTAAATTACCCATAGAGGTGTTGATATTCCGCTAAACAAAAACACGGAAACCAAACAAAGGTATGCGATTCTTCCATCCTCACTATTTTCTGTTATTCCTATAAAGATTTCCTTTCTTCACCACAATATTCTACACTTACTATAAGTTTTATTCATCCGTACCATAGTTTTTTCAACCACGACTATATTCGTTCATCGCCACTATCTTCTTTCTTAAGAACAATCTTCGTTTCTCTCCACTATATGTTTCTTTCTTTCTTTCTTTCTTTCTTTCTTTCTTTCTTTCTTTCTTTCTTTCACACTATCTTTTGCATCCCCACTATATTCTTCGTCCCCACTATCTCCATTCATCTATATAATAAATGCGAATGTCAGTGTGTCACACTTTTTCAACTTTACTCCTAGAGGCCGTAGCCTAACATATCACATCATTTTGGAATCAGGTCAACTCTGTGGGTAAATTCAAAACATTTCTGGCCGGATCCGGATCCACAATCCTGAAATTTGGGATTCCAAAGTTTTCATTACTGCAATTGTTTTCGGCGATTTTTTAACGTGATTTTTTTGCGACGAATTATTTTGTACGATAACAATTTTTATAACATGGAAATAAATTTGGAAATAATCGAAATTAATTGCGAAATCCATCGAAAGTCACCCATGAAATAAACAATTGTTTGTTCGGAAAGTAAAGACCTACGTACATCACAATGTCTTGAAATTGAGTGGCGGCAGAAGAATTATCGTTGAACATTTAAAAGGTAAGCTTAAACATTAATCCAACACTTAAATGCGGCGATCACTTTTGAGTTCTTCTGTAGTTTATTGTTGCCTATCGCATCTACTCCTCCCTAGCTATTGTAATGAAGACCCAATGAAGAGCCCACTGCAAAAGCTTTTAACCTAATTCAAACTATGTTATAGAATAGTTTCACAGTGGAGGCTTGTATTTTACTAAGTCGGTCCTAAAATAGGTTCGACGTACAAAACGTTAGGAACTTGATATAAGAGTTAATGACGCAGCAATCTAGTTGTGGTGGCAGATACTTTAATATCCAACTAACGGTCGTCCGGCATCGACTGACTCACCAACTCTCTGAGCGAGTGCGAGTGCGACTTCTACTACTCCTACTTATTATAGGTGGGAGAGTCTATTAACAATAGAATAGGTGTGTTCCAGTATAACAAACTATATTCTTCTTCGTCATTAGTTCCATTCATTCAAACTATGTTTTTTTTCCACATTATCTTCATTCATTCCCACAACGTTCTGTTTTCTTTCCAACTATCTTAATTTATTCCCACAGTAATTGAACATTGCGGACGAGCGCTGAATGAACTGTACCAAATAACAGAAATCACACCAGTTGAGGATTTTCAACAGCTGCAACAGCTAAAATGGATATCACATGTAACTGGAAGAGAAAATCCTGATATAATAAAGATGTTGGCATTCCGCACTGCTTCAAATAAAAGGTTGGGAAGTAATCAGCAGGCTGGATAAAATCCTCGGCCAAGGTGACTTGAGACTTCGCGCTCCCGGACAGTTCTGTCGACTCTGTTTCACTTAGACGGTTTCAGTCAAATCAAGCACTTTCAAATGGTGCTACACACTTGGATCACCTCGTTAGATCGATTAAGAAATCGATTATACGAACCCGGGTGTCATGGACTGAATTTTAACGTTCTAACCACTCGGCCCCTCTCTCTCTCTCTCTCTCTCTCTCTTTGCATATTTGCTTTCCCTCTTTACTGTATACATCTAACTTGCATTCCCGTTCCTTTCCATTCTTTTTTTAGTCAACCTTCTTTTCGCTTTCTTTTCCATTACACTCAATGTCCGGCCTTTTAATCATCATGAGCCTGTTTTTTTTTAAAGATAATTATGTAGCGTTCTTTGTGGCTTTTTGAAATAAAGCGTTAAAGTGGTTATTTTAAAAGTATCGCCCGAAGATACCATCAGGTCGAAACCATGGTCGCGTATTTTAACTGACCTCCTGATTTTTATATATATATATATATATATATATATATATATATATATTATTTGATTTTTAAAGTATATATATATATATACTTGATTTTTAAAGTATATATATATATATATATATATATATATATATATATATATATATATATGTATATATATATATGTGTGTGTGTGTGTGTGTGTAAATACTAGAAAGAGCGATAATAGTTCATTACCATCATCAGCATCCTTCGACATCCCTATAGTTGGTTGTAATTCAATTGAAAATCCATTTCCAGTCTGTTTGGTCCTGCATTGCTGTTTCCAGATCCCTAGTATCCAGCCCTGAGTCTCGTGCTATGGTGTCTGGGGAAAGTCAATTTTAGTTAGAAGGCACTTCCAGAGGAGATACCGTAGGAATAAGGATGAGACGATTTCCCTGTCCGTTCGGTGGCAGTGGCCGGCAAACTGTAATCGCTTTTGATTGAGCTTAAAAGAGATTGATCTCAGTTACTGAATAATATTTACTGGACTTGAGAAACCTGTTTCTCTGAAAAATTGTTTAAAGAGAAAGATTTTGTAAGTTTCAACCGAAAGCAAAAACTAGCTGTTCGGTCAATGAATGTCGAATTTTTCCTTGGAGGGAAACGGCTAATATTACCAATACCATTATGTCGTTCTTTCTTCACGATTATGTCTTTCTTTCTTTCTCGTTATTTTCTTTCATCCCTGCTATGTTCTATATTCTTTCCCACTAACATCATTCATCCACACAAAGATCTTCTTTCTTCGCCACTATCGCGTTTCATCCACGCTATGTTCTAGTTTCATTAGTTAAATGAGTACTGTTACTTGGTCTGAAGACAGCATCTATCTATCTATCTATCTATCTATCTATCTATCTATCTATCTATCTATCTATCAAACAACACTGGATAAAAATACGAATCAAAAAACCATGCTGACGATCACCATGCTCTGTTGATTCTGATGGTCACATACTATCTATCTATCTATCTATCTATCTATCTACTATACTATTATTGTAAATAAAAAAAATAATTTTTTTTTAACTTGAATTTTCGAATTCAGGGTTGTTCTTCGCTACCCAAGCCTATAGAACTTAATCTACCCTACCATTTAATCCATAACTGAGGGACAGGAGATGAATTCATAGCTTCCTGAAGGGTATATACTGACGATCACCATGCTCTGTTGATTCTGATGGCCACATACTATCTATCTATCTATCTATCTATCTATCTATCAACACTGGATAAATACGAATCAACAAAGCATACTGTCAGTCATCATGGTCTGTTGATTCTGATGGCCAAAGTCTATCTATCTATCTATCTATCTATCTATCTATCTATCTATCTATCTATCTCATACAGTTCCTATTTATCTATGATGGTCACAGGTTATCTATCAACATTAGATCAACAAATTCAGCCGTAATTCGAACACGATTCGCCAATTTCTGCTCCCAGACTGCTAAGCATTGCACCAACCGCACATCCAAGAATGAACCACCTGCCGAATGTAAACGAGAAGGAAGAATTCATTATGACGAGGGTAATGTAAAAATTCTCCGAAACTAAAGTGAAATTTCTTTACATTGTTAAAATAATATTCAATACTATCTGTTCACCTAGTAAATATATTGTAGAAATTTTGACAATTGATATATGCCTTACATCGGAGCGAATTAAATTGTTTATACATTAGGTTAATAAATCCTACCTAGGATATCACTGCTTGTTTTGTTTTTTGTTTTCTTTTTCTTTTTTGGTTTACTGAGCGCTGAATCTTTTCAATGTGCCTAGCCATGACGACAATGTTTTGATAAATTTACCTGTCGGGGTCAAATGCTGATTTACAACCCCCTCGTACAGGTGAAAAAAGATTTATTGTGCACCTGTTCCTGCGAGAATAGGTACGGGGCTAAATCTGAATTTCTTGGCTTCTTTCAATATATATATATATATATATATATCAACTTTTTAAGTTGGTATTAATTTAATTTAGAATTAATATCACCTCTTTCGCAACTAACAGACTGTATATATAACCTAAGTCTGAACATTCTCAATGCTATTGCGAACATAAAATTGTTTTTTAGTTTATGTGTCTAAAAAGGTGTAGTTTTAAGAGCAGAGGTTGTGATTCAAAATGCTATTATAATAAATTACTAAGGACCTTAACCGGTCACCCATGCAAATACCGATTGATGTCATTGATGCTTAACTTCAGTGTTCACATAGGGACCGATGTATTCAATGTGATTTAATCATAAACCAAAATCTCTCTTTTGGTACGCAAAGTTACGATATTAAGAAATTCTGTTATGAAAATGAAGCAGACATTTCAGTCCCAGAAGAATCGAGCCTCGAAGAAGTTCTACCCATTTGCATTAATTTGGGTGATTCTCTGACGCTTCTGTTATACTGGACGCAAGGGGCGTGTGGAATAGGCAGTTTTTTATCTCTTCCAAACATAAACCGGAAGTTGCATCAAATTTCCGGTTCTATTTCGATCATCGAAGTTAAGCAGTAGCAAACCCGGTCGGTGTTTATATGGTTCCATCGCTACACAGGAATTACCATGTTTCAAAAACAGAACTAGGATCTTTAATTTCATTATGTAATTGAATTTGAAGTTTTTAGTTTCTGTTTTTGAAACATGGTAATTCCTGTGTAGCGATGAAATCATATTTTTAAATCAGTTAATCTATAATATTTATGATCTGTAAATTTGCATTGAGCACTGTTTTGTAAAAATAAAAATAACAACGAATTCTATATCATGCTGTTCTTTCTTTTATTATTATTACACACACACACACACACATATATATATATATATATATACACACACACACACACACACACACACACACACACACACCTACCTACACACCTACACCTGTTTATGCGTTTTTTTTAAAAATATAATTGATATAAGTGAATGCTCTGTTTTTTTTTTTTAATGAAACACTGTTAATGGAATTTTAGCGGCCTGAATGTTCGAGAAATTTCGTAGATAATATACGCTATCCGACAGGGTTCGAACCTATAACCCTTTCGGTAACCGTTATTTGATTTGACGTGCTCTTAACTATTGAGCCTAAATAAATATTTAACTTAAATAAATTCTATCTATAAAAATAACATTTAAACAGAAAATATATTAAATAATTGTCGGACTTAATACATTTCAGAATATATATATATATATATATATATATATATATATATATATATATATATATATATATATATATATATATATATATATATATGTGTATGTGTGTGTGTATGATAATAATATAATTTTAATGTATGCTATATTTATGAGTTAAAATGCTCGATATTAGGGATTGAGCGTATGTAAATCTCCATATATATATATATATATATACATATATACACACAGAAATTATATATATATGTATATATATACATATATATATTCATATATATATTCAATATATATATTATATAATATATATATATATATATATATATATATATATATATATATATATATATATATATATACACAGAGGTAGGAACAATGCAAGACGGTAACTTTAATATATAATTTGTGTCTATCACTAAAGTTTACCATCTTGTATTGTTCCTTTCTCTTACTGGTCTTTTAAAATATTCTCTTGCATTAGAATGTGACTCTATTTTGCATTCATCACAAGAATTACTTTTTAATACTTTCCAGCGTTCCATATTAGACGTTCTTTTAAAAATTTTCACAACTTAGAATTTGCATATTATCATGACTTTATCATCTCAGATCTTTCATTGGTCCAATAGCTTAGCATGGCATTTTTTTTGGGCCTTCATATACTTAAAATACTGAATTTTCCGTTACATGACATCTACGAAAATGCTTATTTTCCGATTCACATGACCAACATGCATTTTCGATAAAATCATTTTGCTAAACACTATTTTAACTTGACAAACGTCATGGACAGAAAAACAAAGAAACAGACAGAAAAAGTCACACTTGTCATCATTATTTAAGATGATAATGATTAAAGGGTAGAATTGATTCGTTAATTTTATATAGCTGTGTGTTTTAGGGTGACACAAGTTTCCGTTAGAGAAACAAAGATACAGAAAGAAAAAGTCATACTTTTCATTATTATTTAAGATGGTGAGAATTAAAAGGTAGGATTTATTTGTTAATTTTCTATAGCTGTCTGCTTTAAGGTGAAAATAATTACAGAGAAGGAAAGAAACGTACAGAAAAAGTAGCTAATAAAGGGTGTTTCATTAAGACGGATCAAAGTCAGCAGTAAATAAATCAGTATTATTAGTAAAAAATTATTTATTTCTCTATTGGATCTTGTTATTTAAGTCATGGCAATTATGTGTGAAAAATAATATCACCCAAATGTCCGCCAAATCTGAAAGAAAAAGAAAGAAAATCATTAGACGCTTAAACTTAATTCACATTTAAAATCGGTCCAAGTTATTGGAACGCCATTTATCTATTACTCCCCCGCTAAATCCATGTTTTGCCATTCAAGCTCGTTTTGTATGTTACTTGTTGTTTTCCTCTTGCTGTCAATGTCCTTTGAGTGGAAGATTCTCCGAGCCCTCTTTCCACATTATATGACCCAAAAATTTCATCTAGCTCTTTCGGATTCCGTGTATAAGTGCCCCTTTCTTTCTATTTTCCTTAAAAATTCTCCATTGACCACATGCTATGTCCATATTCTTCTCTGCATTCTTCTGCAGAACCACATATCTCCTCTTTATCGCTGAGGAAATTGTTCAGCATTCACTATATCGGAGGATTGATATTACGCAGAAGTTTAGCACTCTTATTTTTTTTCACAAGATTTTCGTGTTTCTGTGTGTGTGCGTGTATATATATATATATATATATATATATATATATATATATATATATATATATATGTGTGAAAAGTGTATATAAATATAAATAAATATATATATGTATAATTATTTATATATTATATACGCGGTATTTATTAGAACGCGCTCAATATCAGAGATAGAGCTAACATATTTGCTTGGATTGATGTGAGTTTGTGACCCTGGGTTTCACGCTTTACGATCGCTAAAGCGTGAAACCTTGGGTCACAAACTCACATCCATCCAACCAAATATATATATATATATATATATATATATATATATATATATATATATATATATATATATATGATAAGAATATAATCTAGAAATATTGAATATTGCCTAGAAAGTATTTTTGGAAGGCATCTACTGCTATTCCTAAGCGCCTTTGGATTTCAGTGTCAAAGTTTTTCGTCATCTGTTAAAACAATTCTTAGTTAAATTTCTCTACTTGTTAATTTTTACATTTATAGTTTATAACTAACATCTTGAGCTCTTCCTCTTTCTGACCACCATACTACTAACTACTTTATCCAGGAGATTCCGAGTTATTTTTTGTGTCTGCTTTCAATACGGTGTCATCTGCGTATCTTATAGTGTGCTCGCCGATAATAAATCCTGACAGAACATTTAGCTCTCTTAGAGTCCGCCTTTCTGCATCGGTTAAATGAATGTGATGAGAAGACGTATTCTTGGCATATGTAGTTCTTTATTTTGGTGTACTGTTTCAATTCCGAAATACTTACCAAATATAGAGATCTAGTAACAGAAATTGACGGCATGTGTAGCATGAAAATCACAATAACACTGATAAAAGGGTCTTCTCAATCTGGTCAAGAAAGGGGTGTAAAAATACACTAAAAATGCCTTATCATAATACAAGGAGTCGAGAAGATCATCCTCCTTGGTATTGTTCGTATTCAAAGGGGGACTCTGTACATCAAATAAATCTATCATATCATGGTAGACCCTAATCAAACGGAGGAACCCAAATCTGAGTGGATAAAGCAGGAAATTAAGAAAATAGATCTGAATAATAATAATAATAACAATAATAATAATAATAATAATAATA